AACTGAAAGAGAGCAGATTTAGATTATATCTAAGGAAGAAAGTTTTCACAATGAGGGTGGTGAAACACTGGCACAGGTTGCCCAGAGAAGTTGTGGATGGTCCGTCCCTGGAAGTGTTCAAGAACAGGTTGGATGAGGCTTTGAGGAACCTGGTGTAGTAGAAGGTGTCCCTGCCTGTGGCAGGGGGATTGGAACTAGATGATCTTTAAGGTCCCTTCCAACCCAAACCATTCTACGATCTCCTTTCTACCCTCATTTTGCTTCTTCCTCTTTCCTTTGTCTCCAACCCTTTCCCCTGTCTCCAACCCTTTCCCACTTCCCTTCCTGAAAATGTTCACATATATGCAGCCATCTTGCCACCTCTCCTTTTCTACCTCCTTCTCTTCCATCCTGCCCCTCTCCCCACTGCCCAGTACCTTCCAACCTCCTCCTTGCTTCTTCCCAGCCACAATTTTTTTTTTGCTTTATCCTTTAAGGGGACTCATACTCTTCTCAGATCTCCAAACTTGGCTTGGTTTCCACAAGTGCTTAGTAAAGACATAAAAAAAGCACAATAGTTCAAACCAAACTTGAGGTTCATGGCACAAAACCACAGAGGTTCTAGAATTTTTCACCAAAAAAAGCTGGAATAAATTTTTCAGCCTGGAAAATGCTAAATTTTTTTCTCTATGCTCAGCCTCAGGAAGTGGAATAGTTTTTTCTTGAAACTTTCCTCAAAAAGAAGGGCAAAAAGATAAAAAAAAATAGCCTGAGGTAGATGTGGCATGGAAAATATTAGCCTAGATGGTTAACACAGACCGACTTTGAGCAACTGAAGGCAGGGTTTTAATGGAAACCATCAGGTAACCTTATCCACAGGTGCTACCTGTTGTGCCTCTAATTACTCCTCTTAGCAATCCTTACCATTGCTGAACAGGGAGAAAAAAAAGTGAGGAAAGAGCTTTTCATGGGATTTTAATGCTCTGTAATACTTTAACGTATAATAATGTCTAGTGATCACCACCTACGCCACACAGAAAAAAGTCTCCAAGTGCTTTTTAAGGTTTTGGATGACAAGACAACAGCAGTGATGCCACTGAAGGAAGTGAACTTAATCTCTTTGTCACACTGTAGGGGGTGGCTGAGGGTGCAGCCCAGACCTGCGCTGCCCACAGGGACTTGTGCCTGGCTCCCGTCCTTTCCATGCCCCGACAGTGCTAACACATTACTATGCTTTGTGCCTAGGAAATAACGTATGGATTAGGTTGCAGGGGGCAACTTGCACAGCTTGGCTGGCAGTGTGGGGGCACCACACGGAGACCTCTGCTTTGGAGGTCTCCTTGGAGTGCCTCCTCCTCAGCAGTTGATGTTAGGAGGGAAAGGTCCACGGTCAACACGGGAGTCTGTAACTCTGTGCGTGTGTGCACACATATGTGAGTGTTGTGGGATTACGGAACAGTGTCAGACATTTGTAGGAATTTAGTAAGATTTCGTAAATGGCTAGTGTTGTATTACCAATTCTGCACATACCGTCCCCTGATTACCTTCTAATTATGTGTTAATAAATTCCTAAAAATGCTTCGATTCTGGTTTTGATTCACACTAGGTGAACTGAGAGGGTTTTATCCTGCAAAAAGCATCCATCTGACAGAAGGGTGCTTTTGTGGCATGATACCCTCAGCTCCCGTTGCTCCCCTTGGTGTGTAGCACGTGGCACGGGACCTGACAAGATGCTGCCAGCAGCCCTTATATATAAGAGTTAATTCTCTGCAAACTCCTCTGGTTTTCAATGCTACAGAAAGGGTTTGATTTAATGGAAAACTCTGCAAGTAAAAAACAGGAGAGGAGGCAGGACATGAAGCAG